CTCTTCTTTTCCCTTGGCTCTGAGAGTTTATCCATGCCAAGTGGACCGTAAGTGACTAAAAAAAATCAACTGCACATCAGAAAACTCAAGGGCCAGAAGGAAGCTTAGGGACAGTCTAGTTCAGTGACTTAAAAAAAAAAAAAAAGTTTTTTTCCCCCTTTGAAAAACCAAACTCAACCGTGGGAGGAGAGCAGAAACCAGAATTCTTGCTCTCTGAGAACGTGGTTTGAAAGACACTCATCTAATCAAACCCTATCATTTTGCAGAAAGGTCTCAGACTTTCTGCTCTTGGCCAGCTATATCACACATTCCTAAGCCTACACAGGTGACTTGGACTGCATCTTTTCTGGACTTTCAGAGGCTGAGCCCTTCCTGAATTAGGCAAACAGTACATGTTGCGACTGGGGAAGGTCGCTGCCTCCTACGCAGGTGAGAGATGCCCCATTTGCTCTTTCCTAGCAGCCCAAGGCCCTTTTCTTTTTTAGGATTATTAAAACTGGCCCCCCATTCTCCCTAGGATCCAGAGCGTTATAGGAGTCTGTGCTTCCAGGAGTGGGTCTGGGACAAGGAACATAAATAAGAAAGAGGAAGTGCGGAAAAGAACTCAGTGGCAAGGCAAGGAGCCTTTGTTAAACTCACAGAATTAGGGTTGGGATTAGGTCTGAAATCTAGGATTAAATTTTACAGATAATGTTAGGATTAGAATGAAGATGGGGGCTAGATTTTGGATTGGGCATTAGGACTAATACCAGGGTAGAATGAATTATAATGGTGGAAGGGTTTGAACTGGGAGTTAGAGCTGTGGGTTAAGAATTAGAACCTGAGTTGGAAGACCATCCGCTCCCTCTCAGGTCTCTACAGGTGTTTCCATTTTGGCCATCTCTTGCAGGGATAGGGTCTTTGGACTCAGTAGTACCAAGAAAGCAGCCCTTGTGAGCTCTTGCCCTTGAGTCACACCTGGCTATTTCCCACACAACCTAATAATTTAGTTGCTACTTCAAGAGCTCTGGCTGCCGAAGCATTAATATTATCCTTTATTAGACCCTACTGAGCACATAGATGGCTCCTTTTAGGCCAACGGTGATTGCAAACTACCCCCAAGAGTCACATCACAGGTTCATCTGGAACATAATCTACACTAGGAAATCGTCAAAACAATTATGACAAAAGCACTTCTGCCAATTACCCCCACACTTTGGTCCCCTAATTTGATGATGTCCTGAAATTTTATGTCCTCTCTGAGCTTTCAGCCAACTAAGTGGGCATGTTATAGGACCTGGTTCAAGGGCTCTTCTGATAGAAACCTTGGGAACGAAGAGTGAAAAGTTTGGCTAGGAACATCCTAAGAGAAAGCAGATGAACACTGGGTCTCATTTCATACAGCTCAGTGAAAAGTCTCACAGTGAGTTTCAGTGTCTTCTAGGGAAGGTGAGTGTGATAGACTATTCCCCAGGATACTCTCAATAGCGTGCCAATTCATATATGGGAAATTGTTTTCATTCAACAAATATTTATTGTCTACCAAATGTGTCCTGGACATTATATGCGGTCATTGTTTGTGGTGAGCAAAACAGATGTGATCTTTGGAGAGAAAACACACAAATAAGTATTTAATTATAAACCGTGATAGGTTCTACAAAGGAAGATAAAACGGGGCAACATCATTTTAATCGGGCCTGAGTATTAGTGAAAGCTGTTTTGAGGGAATGCCATTTAATTTTAGGTGTGAAATAGTTTAAGTAGGAATTAGTTTGTTGGAAAATTCTTGAACATCTCCACTGTTCTTTATGCTTTTTGATTTTTAGGTTGCAATTGATTCCTTCATTGGTCTCTGGTAGATACCTTTTGGAATCTTTGCCAAGAACATTCCTGACCTTCTTTGAGAGCCACAGGCTACAAGGATGGGCCTCTGGCAGTCCTGTATGTATTACAAAACAAAGAACATTGACAGGCTCAAAGCAACTTTATGGAGAATAGGCAACCTGACATAAATTTGACCAGGCAGGTTCTTTCCCCTGAAAACTGGGATTCATAGATAGCTGATTAAATTCTGCTGGTTCTTGAAGTGAGGCAAGGCAAGTGTGGACAGTCATGTTCCACTGTGTTCCCAGAGAAGCAGTGAAAGCAGGTCTGCAGAGTAAGATGGAAGAACATGTGACCAGAGAGAAAGAGATAATGAGGGACTAGCTACTTGGTTTCTGTTAGTCTTATAGACCCCTCCTTCCAGTCTTTCATGAGATTTTTTTGCTGTGTCCTTGAGTTCTTTAAGATTATTTTCTTCCATAAATTATTAATTAATTCATTAATTTTGGCGTGAAATTTCAGTGGTTTCTGTTTCTTGCAGATGAAAGAGGCTTGTCTCAGAGTGGCTTCTTATCAGATGAGCTCTTCCATGCAGCAAACATGGATTGAGTTAGCTTCAGTCTCACAGAGACTGGTGGATCCCACAGGCACACAGATAATGAACAAATATAGTGGCATATATGGAAATAAAACAGCATTCGGTAATAAAATTAATCTAGGTACTACCCTCTGAAGAGTCTTATATTCCCGCTGGGTCAAGGGTATTCAGCAGCTCTTTCTAAGAGCCAAACCTTTTGGAGCTAGGTTTTGTGACAAAAGACAAGCATGTATATTTCTTGGTCCTATAATGGAGATTATGTGGGCAAAGGAAGGAAGGAAGGAGGGACCAATTCTGCCTTGTCAGAGTATGGAAGGCACTGAAGATATACCATATGCCTGAACGGGTAGTAGGAGCGTCCTAGGCAAGAGAGCAGTGGGGCAGAGGGGAATAGGAGGGACAAGGTCTTAGAAAATTTTGTGCACATACTGGGTACTTGGTAAATGCTTGTTAAAAATGAATAACTGGGAAACAGACAGGTAGGCAAGCAGTTTGTAAGATGACAAACAGTCACAGTTTATACTAAATTTTCCTTTTGGTTTTAGGGTTTCCTCCACATATAAAAGATCATCAAGACGCCAATAGAGAGTCCCACTTAATCTTGGTCTGTTACACTCAAAGGCTGTAAGTCTTTCATGAATATGGCAATTTTATGTCCGCTGAAGTGAAGATTTAAGGGCAATATGAGTCCAGTGAAAGCTAGGTGTGCTGTATGGTCTCATCCATTCTATGGACTTTTGACAGAAATATTTATTGAAGGCTTTGAAAGTCCACAAAGTTGAAACTCAGTAGTATGAAAACCAGCACTCTCATTTGGGAGTACGTTAGTTGTAAATGACTTGACTTTTGCAATCACTGTTTTTATCAACAGCATCTTTAAGAGGATGCTAAGCAAATGTGATCTTTGCTCTTTAGAGGCCAAAAGAAGTGTCATAAATGTTAACAAATCCACCGATCAAGCACAAATATAATGGTGGATACAGAAATAAAATAGCAACATTTGGTAATAATATTAATCTAGGTAATACCCTCTGAAGGTCTCATATTCCCAAGCTGAGGATACACAGCCTCTTTTTCTAAGGGCCAGGAAGTCTTCCTACAAGTGGCAGGGACCTAGAATTTCGCCCACAGGGTCTCAGCTGTGGGTCACCTCTTCAGAAGCTATGGTGCAAGTTTCCTCCGCTGTGACATTTGTCACCAACAATCGCACTCCGCTCATGATTGGCTGGAACTCAGAATGAGCTCAAGATAAAAAAACATGGAGTGTTAAAGGCTTATTTAGTGGCTCAAACTTCTTTGGTTACATCAATTTTCATCACTGATTCGGCCATAGCTCCCTTTCAAAAACCAAACATGTCCACTCTAGAAAAACAGAGGTTTTCCTAGCCGAGTAATAGGGAGTGCACTTGCGTCTGAGGCGGGGGACACCTATGAGGGAGGAGGGGCGCGGAACTTGACTGAGACGCTACCCTCCCTCCCTTCCTGGTGCGGGGGTGGAGAGGGACATTTCCCATAAGTTCGTTTCTGCCAAGGGGAGAGCTGTTCTCCGGGTGGAACTTGAAGGCTGGATCGGGTGTGGGGGGATTGAGAAAAGATAGTTCTCGGGGATTGGCAGTTAGTGGAGAAATGATCTCGGGCATCGCCCAGAACCCGCAGCAGCCGGTTCCAGAACCTCTCCGCAGATGAAGAACCTCCGCCCACCCCCCCGCCCGGAGCCCCGGGTAAAGCGAGACCCACTTCCGGGTTTGGAAGCACTCCCTCCTAGCCCCTCCCAGTACCCGGTTACGGGGTCTCCAGGCGCATGCGCAGCACTCTTCCGCCGCTCTGGGACTGGCCCGACTTACCCTAAACAACTATTCTGTTCCTCCCCCTCCCGCTTGGGGCGTACCATTCGTATTTGGGGGGAGGTAACGCGCCCCAGAGTACTCAGAATCCTGCTCCCCTTCTTCAGACGGAGGGAGGTAAGTTTGCCTCAGATTTCAAAAGTTCCAAGAATACGAGAGCCTCAGAGGCCTGTCGCTGAGTGATAACCCAACGCTCTCGCCTCTGCCCACAGCTCAGTACTCTTCCTTTGAGGCGCTGAACAAAGTGGCACGCCCGGATCCCAGCTGATCAGCTGCTGGGCTTTGGCGGCGGCTCCCCCGGGCGAGACCATTGTGACTCCTTAGAAGGGGTGTCTGAGGAGGGGAGGGGGCGGAGCGGCCATTGTCCGGTCAGCGCAGCCTCCGGGGGAGGGGAGAGTGACGGAGCGAGCGGGGCCCGAGGCTTCATAGCGGCCGCTGCTACGCCAGAGCCGGCGGGGGCCTCAGGTCCGTCCCAGCGCCGCCGCACGGGACATCGCTCTGGCTGCGAGCGGCGGTGGGAGCTGCCGAGGGCGCCGGGTCTTCCTTCCTCCCCGCGGTCCTCGGTTCACCCGTACGCCCCTCCTCCTCAGCTCCCCTCCCTCTCCTCTCCGCGCCTCCCCCGGCCCCCCCGTCTCTGCAGGCTGAGTGGTGCGGCCCGCCTCCAGCTGACCGGCCTGGAATCCCGGCTCGGAGCCCCGGACTCGCGCCCGCCCGCGCTCCCGCTCCCTCCCCCTCCCCCCGCCCCGAGCCCCCCGACGCCGCCGTCGTCGCCGCCGCCGCCTCCTTCGAGCGGGGCCCAGGCCCAGCCGCCGCCACCGCAGCCGCCGCGGAGCTCCGCCGCCGCCGAGCACCATGGGAGACGCCGGGAGCGAGCGCAGCAAAGCGCCCAGCCTGCCGCCTCGCTGTCCCTGCGGCTTCTGGGGGTAAGTGTCCGGCCGGATCGGGGTGGGGGCGGGGGCCCGGGGCGCGGGCGCGGGGTCCGTCTGGACAGGCCTCGGGGCCGCGGGAGGCCGGAACCCTGGGGGCTGGGCCCTAGCCGGGCCTACTGGGAGCGGGCAGGGGCCGCGTCTCGGGGAGGGGCGCTGGGTGGGGAGCTGGAGGTGGTCAGAGAAGGCCCTGCCCAGGGTGCACTGCCACCCTCTGGGACTCTCCTGCCTGAGGTTTGGGCCAACGGGGACCAACCTGGCTACGGGTGAGGGGGGCAGGGCAGCAGGGAGGGATGAGGGGGCGGTGTTGGCACCTCCGGGTGGAGCTGGGGTGCCCCTTTCCCTTGGCCTGTGGAGGCCAGCCCTCTCCCCGGCTTGGTATGAGTTGGTGCCCAGGCACCAGAAGGGTATTTCCTCTGACTTTTTCACCCCCCCCCGCGTCCCCCAGAGACTTGCATCATCACTTCCTAAATTATATCCCAGTGCCCTATTTGCTTTTAGGAAGCTGTTCACACGTCACCCATTTTTAAAAATCCAGTCCGAAATCCAGGCTGGGGCAAAGTTAAAAGACTGTGGAGGTCTCACCTTTATTTAAAACGCGTTTCAGAAGATCTGTAAAATTTTCTTGACTAAAAAAAAGGTAAAACTCAAGTCAGCCTGGCTTGGGAACGTGAGAGCCAGTTTGCTCAATTGGTTCAAATTCCTTTCTCTCCCCCCTCCTTTTTTTTAATGATAAAAATATTCACATTGGCCAGCCTGCTTTATTATTTGGCCATCCTGTGTTAGAGTGAAAAAATATGAGGTGGGAAATCAACTTTTCCACATATAGTTAGATTTTAAATTCTCCTTGTAACGCTTCGAGTTTGGTGAATTACCTACCACCCCTCTTACCTAACAGGTGCCTCCGTCCTACCTTATGATTCTAATTGTATTGTAAGGAAACTGGAGACTGAAGGGTTTTTGTGATTGAGCCCTTTTTTCTTCTTTTTTAAAATTTTCCTAGGACCTAGTATATTTCAAGGTGTATAGAGGCAGTAAGGAAATGTTTGTATTTCTGGTGAGAACGTCTTGGGAAGGTGTATTTAAGTATTTTATTTTTTCTACCTCCCAGATGTTAGGAATGGTTGAGGTACAGATTACGTCTGATTTTGGGGAGTGCAGAGAAAGATTAGAAAGTGGATCTTAATGTAGTTTTCTGTGGAATTTGTCAGATTCAAAGTTTGCAACAAAGAGATTCTCATTTTCTCATCTTTGCCTTTTCTTAAAAAATTCCTGGTGGAAAGATGCTAGTCAAAGATAAGTTATGATATTACCAAAAGTTCTGAAGATGTGAAAATATTTTAGGTTTTATAGTCTTCCTAATAATTGGGTTGTCTGCTAAGGGCTTTCATAGGCCATCTAATTCCCAGAAATTTTAGGATGTAGAGCCATTATCTCTTTATAGATGCGGAAGTTGAGGCTTAAGAGGGTGGATAACTTGCCCCTTGCTTACAGGGAGTTTAGGGTGGAGCTGGGGAGCTCTTGAGAGTGCTTACTACCATCACGTTTATGACATCAATCTGCTGCCTTGGAAAAATCTGGTGTCACAAGCCTCTGATTGTAACTCCTAAGACATTGGCTCAAAGAAAGTAGCTGCCAATGGCAACTAATGCCCAGGATGTATCAGAGGCTTGTTTCCTGGCAACATGTTTATGTCCTTGGGACCATTATCATGAGTGGAACCCTTATTGAAAGACTCAAAGCAAGATGTAGAAACTAAGGAAATGGAATATCCTTTTACTTTTAGCCAGCAGAGTTCTGAATAATGCCAAGAAAGTTTGATAGTTGCAGGGAGGAATGGTTAAACTGATACTATATCTGACCTATAAGCAGTCAAGCCTGCTTTTTTGATACTTTTAGTTTGGCCCTTTTTATGAACTGCAGTTTGCCTAACAGCAGTTGTGAGCACAAAACTAATATTTTTATGTTGAAAAGCGTTCTTTTTTAATGTGTAATGAATGCTTTAAACCTTTCTGAAGGAGTTTGTAGGTAGGTGTGTAGTTTGCATTTGATACCAAAGTGTAGTGATATTGGTGCCTAGTTTCATTACAACTGGCTTTGAACAAACATGTGTCCCTTATTGTATGGGTCGCATTCATACTATGTTCATTAAACTTGATTACATTCAGCAGATAATTGAGTGTCTCTGATATAATGGTGGACAAGGGGGCACTGGCTCCATCCTCTGGGGGAAGAGGGCATACTGAAGTAAAGGGATAGAATAAAGTATGTTAGGATTGGTATAGGGTGCAATGGGAGGGGTACTTAGCCTTCTTGAGGTGGGGATAATGGAAGGTAGCCTGAAGGGAGTGACACCGCCTAGGCCTGTAGGGAAGGGTAAGAGCATGGAGATAGAGGCGTTTATTTCAGGTGCAGGGAATAGCATGGGAGAAGGCCTGGATGTGAGGGGGAGCACTCCACATTTGAGGAACCAAAAGTTCATTGGGGTTGATTGGTAGACTGTGAGGGGGGGATCCACTAGAGATGGTGAGACTAATTGGTGATACAGGACTCTATAGATAATGCCTAGGTCTTTGGACTTTTATCTTGAGTTCATTAAGGAACTGTGGAAGAACCTTGAGTGAAGTGATTTTCTTTAATGTGAAAGATTGGATGATGTTGAGAGTGGCCTGGGTGTGTGGGTATGATTGTGTGTATGAATGTGATGTATTTTTGTTCTTGGGATGTTGCCAGAGGTTCAGAAGTCTTGTCAGGAGGAGTAACCCAGAGTAGGGATGATTGTGTGTGGTAGCTAGGGAGAATGGAGAGAAGTAGGTAGCTGTGAAAGCCATTCAGGAGGTATCTTTTGCCTTTTCCTTTGATGAAAATGAAGGTGAGTGTGTTATCTGCAAAGTTCAGTCAGCATTGCATTCTGTGGAAGCCATAGGTTTATGAAGTCCGCTAGCCATGGCCTACACCCAGTCCTTTGCAGAGGAGCCTCTCAGAATGTTCTGGTGCCAGTAGACTACAGGAAGTTCTTAGGATTGCTCTTTTCTGTAGTGAATTAGGTGGCTGGACTTAACTGTTCAGTTGGGGCACCATTCAGTAGGGCTTGGTTAGATAGGAGAGCTGTGAGGTCTTGTGGGAATGCAATTAGAAAGTGGAATGACAGGCAAGCGTGTTGAGTGCTTGAACAAGTAAAGTTTCTACTTTTCCTCCTCTTGGTTTATATTGTGTAATTGTGTGCAGGTAATTAAGTTATTTTTTTTAAAGATTTTTATTAATTTGACAGATCATAAGTAGGCAGAGAGAGAGAGAGAGAGAGGGGAAAGCAGGCTCCCTGCTGAGCAGAGAACCAGATGCGGGCCTCTATCCCACGACCCTCCTGAGACCATGACCTGAGCTGAAGGCAGAGGCTTAACCCACTGAGCCACCCAGGCGCCCTGGTAATTAAGTTAGTATTTTATAGAGACCATCTCTCCACTGGGAGAGATTTCCAAGCTGTCTTGGAAATCATTGAAGATTTACCTCTTTATAAAAGTTGGAAGGTGTTTGCATGGTATATACAGTGCTTTTAGAGTTAATGATCATAGTTTTTTCTCTGAGATATGTACTTAAAACTTTTAGTGAAATGTGAGTATATTCTTGGCTCATTTTTAGGCATTTTGTAGTCATGTGAAAAACATGTTAGTTTGTATTTAGTTAACTCTGAAGTGAAATATATATATTTTTTTACTTGGAATGTACTCATACACAAAAGCACTGTGAAACTATACAGATATAAGTGTTATTAGTGGAAGCTACATTTTAAATTGTTTAGACATTTAAAATGTACTGACACATGTAAATTCATAGGTATTTTCAAAAGTTGTTGAAAGAGCAGACAATATTCTAAAAAGAGGAAGAAGACTAAGACACTAATATACTAAATATATTGCAGGGTAATAAAAAAGGATAATAAGGACAGGGAAGGATGGACTTTTTTTCCCCCCTAATTTTTACCTATTAAGTATAAAAATCCAGTTGATATTTTGCTTTTACAATTGGAGACAATCTATTGTAATGTAATATGGAAAATTTGGAGAGTACTATGTCTTTCATAAATAATTTTGAAGTACAGTATACATAAATGTTCAGTCTTATATTTAGGGAATAATGGAGTATTTAAATATGGAATTTATCTGTTGCAGTGTTTTATTCACCAGATCTGCTAGATAATGTATTTTAAATAAAATGGGGTTATGCAGAGATCAAGAGTCATCTCACAGATTGTATTCCATTCCTGGAGAGGTTACCAGGAGAAAGTTGATTGAAAATATAAGATGATTTGTTTTATTCCATTTTACTTTTGGGAATCACAAGGTATTAACTAGTTAGCTTAGGGCGCCTGGGTGGCTCAGTGGATTAAGGCCTCTGCTTTTGGCTCCGGTCATGATCTTGGGGTCCTGGAATCGAGCCCCATGTTGGGCTCTCTGCTCAGTGGGGAGCCTGCTTCCTACTCTCTCTGCCTGCCTCTCTGCCTGCTTGTGATTTCTGTCTGTCAAATAAATAAAATTAAAAAAAAAAAACAACAACAATTATTTAACTAGTTAGCTTATATAGAATCTCTGTTTTTTTTTCCCCCCTTCATTTTTATTCCTCTGAGCCCATGCCTTGGGAGTTGATGTAGAATTCTGTTTCTGTCACTCTGTGAGTCATCTGGCTAGTGTTTAGCTCAGAACAGTGTGTGGACCTGGATTCTTCAGTCTCAGCCTCCCAATTAGAACATGTTGCCACACTTCAGCCAGCTTAACCTGGGCTTTCAAGTTCAAGTGAACACAGCATGAATTACTAGTTAATCAGTAGAATGTTTATTTCAGTGATGTCACTAATTATCCCTTCATTATAAAGTCCCCTTAAACATTCTCTTAAAAAGAAAACAGCTCATTTGTGCAGTTTTACTTTGTATCCTTGAGTATTGTACACACCTGAAGATGTAACATGATGTAATGAAGTATTCAGGGTTGGTAGGTTTATCT